CGAACGAGGTCGAAATGTAAAGTCCAGCAAATTACCGACCCTTTGAAGGTTGGAAGACCCTAGAAGATTGTATTCTGGGCAAAAGTTGAATTTGAAAACATCATTGAATAGAGGGGTTCATTAGCGACGCGTAGGAAAAAACGGAACTCAATTCCGAGTTCGGACGAGCCGTCGCGCAGTCCAATCTTCTTTAGCGGTGCTATGAAATCTTAACGGGGCCAGAGAGTTTGTACTGAAATGGTTAGCGGCCGCTAACCCTACCCAGCAGACTGTGGGGTTTTTTCCTCAAATTGCAGATTGTTTTGGGGAAATGCTCAAGAGTGGACATCTTTTGACCGATATTCTTCCCTTAATTTCAGTTTTTGGTGCCCAAGAAGACACACCTACTTATTCTCTTCAATCTCACCTCACTCAATCATCCTTGAACAAAGGGGGGTTCTCCCCCCCCTTATTCTTCTTCTTCATTTTTCTCTTTAGTTTTGTCTTGGTTTTTCATGTTGTGAGAAGGAACACTTGGAAGACTTGTTGCATTTTGGACTTGGCTTGATATTGTTCTTGACATTGGATTGCACATTATTAGCAAGTTTTCTTCTTTTTCATTGTGTTCATGATGTTGAGAATGGCTTGTTTTGATGTGAATTCTTGTGTTCAAATTGCAATGTGTGGCTAATCCTTTAGTTAGGGTTATGGGATAATCATTCTGGTTTATTCTCGTTTATGTGCATGACGATAGCTCAATCTTGACGAGTTGTTTTAATTATGAATTGATAAAATCATACTTGATAAATTGTTATAACCTAAGAGTGACACTTAGGTTAATTTGTTGATATAATCGAAGAAGTGACACTTCGATTTGTGATTGAATATTGATTTGTTGAGTTTGGTTTGTTGATTCTACATGATTAGTTGATTAAACACCTTCTAGTCAAAATAGCGACTTTTAGAACCGAAAGGGGAGGAGTCGTAGAATTAATTGATTTCAAAACCGAGAGGGGAGAAATTGGTGGATCTTGGCTCGTTTAGAGTAGACATGTTCGGAGACGTATTGTCTATGTGTTAATTGTTTCGGTAATTCGCTCTTTTATGTTTATCCTCATATTACGAGAGTTAGTGAGGTGAAACTGCTAAATGAGTTAGTTAGTCAAGCCATTTAACCGAGTTATTGATTGCCGTTAAATATGTGTAGAACCGGAAATGATTATTCACGATTCCCTAGCTTCTTTATCTTTGTATCGTTTATATCTTTGGGTAGAGTATTGTTTTATGTTATAGCTAGTTGATAATTCTCCAACCCCATTATGATCAGAATGTGTATGATTTATTTTGCTTTTATGTGTTATCGATACCACTTCTAAATTCCAAACTGCCTTCCTCGAGAGATCGACCCGAGAAACGAATCATTCGATTCGGTGCTCGGTAAAATAAAAATAATTTGCTACAACAAATTTGGCGCCGTTGCCGGGGAAAGCAAGTAGAATATTTGGTTTTGGTGTTGGTGTTATTTTCCGTGTTTCTCTTACTTTTGTGATATTTGCTTAATTTCAGTGTTTTCTCTCGATTTTCTTATTTTTCATTTCTCTTGTTTTTGGTATATTTTTGAAAAATCGTAAAAAAAAAATTATTACATATATATATATATATATATATTTCGTGGCTACGTGTGATTGTTCTGTTTTGGTGTACAGGTATTATGAACTTCAACCGTGCTTTCCCATATCCGCACACCCAATCTTGGGTGAACGAGTCGAGCTATCACACCGGGTACCACGTCCAACCTTATCCATACTCTCCCGGTCGAGCAATATTACGAGTTCCACAAGTTTAACGAGAAGCTCGACCGTATCTATGCTTTTGCATCATCCCGGTTAGCTCAGGAAGAAGAGACCGCAACCCGGTGTACCCTTCTGAACCAGTCACCACCGTACCACGATTCTTGGAACTATGACCAGACTTGGACATACCCCTACGAGCAGCAGTGGGATTCATGGCCTATCGAGCATTCACACGAGTCCCTTGAGGACTCCTTAGAATACAATGCAAAGCTCGACCAGGTCCTCGCTCTTTTAGCCTCCCAAGCGGCCCGAATGAGCAATATTGAGTCCAGAATCAAGAACCTAGTAGAGCGCGTGCAAGTCTTGGAGGATCGAGTTACCAATGACTCTCCCCAGCCAACCGCTCAAGGCGAATCTACACATAAGGATGAACCTCATGAAGCTGCTTTGACATACAATGAAAAGCTCAACCTCATCCTTGCTTGCATACCTGCCCAGACCACTCGAGATGTGGAGATTGAGCTCGGATGTGCTTGACTGAGCGCACAAATGGAAATTATTACAGCATATATCGACTCAATCGAGGCCCAAGTCGATGACCCCCACTTTATGCTTGATACTCAAGCCCGTATGATGAAGCAAATGTGTGAGGACGAAGAAGAAGGCGATGAGCTCCAGCGAGACGTTGATGATATCTCAGAGGAGGAGATCCGTGGGCTTGATTCTCAAGTCACTCCTCCCACCTCCGAGTTGGAGCATCTGTATTCAAGACCGTTGCACTGTGTTACGAAGTGGGGAGGATTCAGTTCGACTTGCTCCATAGATGTGCTTATAGTTCTGGAGGTTGACAACAGAGCTCGGATGGGAAAAGCTCTGCGTCTAGAATTGGGGATCGCTTGTGCCCGAACCAGGTTCACCAAGAACATAGCCACCCAGATCCACTGTGCCAGCCTTCTCGTCAATCTTCCCATGCTATCACTTCTCGAAAATACGAAGGCGTGGCATGATCGTCACTTCTTTTTGGATCCTGGTTGATTTGTACAGGTTTCGTCAAACTAATGACGTTAAACAAATGCTTCTTGGGAGGCAACCCAAGTGATTTACTGCTTTCTTGTGTGTTTCGTTTATGCTTTTTAGTTCATTTTTATTTTTGAATAATGGGAGTTTAGAGTTCTTTGTGGTTTTTTCTGGGCAGGACGTATCGAGGACCGGTTGATCGTGGGCAGAGGGTTTGCACATGAATGCTTATTTCCCTCGAGGCTACTTCGGTTTGCACACCCCTTCTCTTTTCATCTTTGTGAGATTGTTTCGTATCTTTTCTTTTGAGTCTTTGTTCTTGTGTGTTAGTTACTAAATTGGTTCATCATGTGAAAGTGCTAAGCCTTGATATTTGAACTTCCCGGTTATGTGTAGAAGCAATAAGGACATTGCTTCATTTGAAGTGTGGGGGAATCTACGTGGATTTTCCATGCTTATGTGGTAGACCGGTCTAGTATCTAGGTTGTCATGTTGTCGAGCATGTGCTACTGGTGAATTATATGACTTGCTGATGATTGTTTAATGAAATTGGGAAGTTGTGATGACGGACATATTTACCATTGCCTCGATATTTACTTGATTGCTTTCGTGACATTTATTTACCTTGTGAGGGTTTGATCTTTACTTTTCTTTCTTGAGAGATATTGGTCGTATTCTCGAATGATTAGAATTTGCCTTGAGTCTATTTGAAAAGAATCGGTTTAAGTTTGAAATTGCGAAAATGATTGAGACTTTTTGTTTGTTAGCTCGTTTTGCCTTGTTCTTTGGTCCGAAAAATTATATTCCCTAGTAACCCATTTGAGCCTTGAGCCTTTTCTTGTCAGCCGTACATATAATGAATTTTATCGATTGATATGCGTGATGATTGGTAAAGACGGAGTCATTGTTGAATGAGGTGAAAATCGAGTTGCATTTTATGCTTGACATTAAAAGAAAAATAATAATAATAATAATAATAATAATAATAATAATAATAATAATAATAATAATAATAATAATAAAAATAATAATAATACATGAGAGCTGGCAAGACGAATCGATTGGATTCTACTCCGCTTACTTGTTATTCATTTTAATGAGTAATGAGTATTGGGAAACCACTTTAGGACACTTGGATGACCTCCAATGTTTAAACCTAAGGAATATTGTCCTTACGATTCGAGCTTGTTCGGAAATAGCTCTCTAAATAAAATAAAAAAATCAATGTAATAAGTCGAGCCAAATTGTGAGTCGATTAGAGCCATTTGGTGTTGTTTGTGGAGATGTTGGTGGATGGTTTGTATGCTATCTTGTTGATTCTGGTCGAGTGGCGGACATTCGAATATTCTATTACTCGAGAACTTTGATTGTTTATTTGAGTTTCTTGTCCATATATATATATATATATATATATCCTTACCTTTACCTACATCCCACATTAACCTGTTGATTCGAAATTTTTGAGCTTTGATTGATTCCGAGTAATTTAGATGATTGACAAGCATATGTTGAAACGTGAATATCGACCAATTTTGAGCATACCTATCACTTATCCAAGCAAGAAAATGAGTGAGGCATATATAATGATCTATGTGTTGAGACTGAGAGTTTGTCATTTTGTGGCCAAGTCGATATTTGAGGCATATGGTCGTACGTTCATTGGAATTCGACCCAATTGAGTTAGATATTTTGAGGCTCTTCTTATTTGAATCCGCATCCATGCTCGTGTCATGTTTTCTTTTCTTTTTGTTCGAGACGAACAAAGGTTTAAGTGGGGGGGAAATATTTGTCCCATTTTTGTTGCGTTTTTCGTTGTTGTTTTGTCATTCTTTTTCCCCCGTTTTAGGTCTTTTTGTTAGTTTTTAATTCGTTTTGTAGTTTATTATGTGTTTGGCTCTATTTTGGTTTTCTATGTGTTTTTAGTGTATTTTGTCAGTTTTCTACGTTTTTCTTCTTGTTTTTAGTGTGCAGGTCAAAAGCCCCGTGAGGAATCGATTTAGCTCGAAAACGGGCCAAGAAATCATGGTTGGATAGATGGGTTCCTTAGCTATACATAGGAAAAAGCGAAACTCAATTTCGAGTTCAGACGAATCCAAACGGGGCCGAAACGTAAAGTCCAGCAAACTACCGACCCTTTGAAGGTTGGAAGACTCTAGAAGATTGTATTCTGGGCAAAAGTTGAATTTGAAAACATCATTGAATAGTGGGGTTCGTTAGCGAATATAAATGACAATGTTTCTGGATAGCTAGAAAGAATATGGTATTCCCAATTCAATAATCTCACCAAAATAGCCAACAGATAAATCAATAATTTCAATTCTCTTCACTATTGTTAAAGAACAAGTTCACCACAAATTCCCCAAGATCAAGAAATTTTACAGTGCAAAACAGACGTATTCAACATAATCCCAAGAAACTATGGTTTTCCTAGAAAAATAGATTAGAATAAGCGCCTATTGATCAAGCTTTTGAATTCAACTTCTCGAGAAGTATCTTGTTCAAAAGCCCGGGATTCGCCTTGCCATTTGTTTCTTTCATTACCTGGAATCGGATTGTTAGAAACCCCCGCAAAAAATAAGGAAAATAAACTTCAAGCCTATATTCAGAAATTCACCTGGCCAGCAAAAAAGCCTTGTAGCTTAGTTTTGCCACCTTGGTATTGTTGTAGCTGCTTTGGATTGTCCGCAAGGACTCTATCCACTATTTTCTCGATCTCAACCGGGTCCACAATCTTAAGGGTAAGAAAAACGATCTAAGTTAAATTTAGTAATTCACATGAGTTCAACTATTTTTTTAAGTCCAATTCATGAAAATNAAAACACTCCAACAGCATCACAGCAAAACTTGCCTGAACCAAATCCTTTTCTTTGATAAGTCCTTTAACAGTTCCACCCTTAACCATTAACTCAAGCAGTATCTGCACATATCACACAAAAAAGGGGATAAATATACAAAACCGCATCTTCATACGTTGATTATTGCCTCTATATCATATCAAGAGCTGAGGAAAGCCTATGAAAGAAAAAAGAAATGAATAACCTATATTATATATATACTTACTACTATAAAAGGAAAATTGATTTTGTAAAAATACTACACGGACTAAAAACCATATGTTTGGTATATCTTTAGTAATATTATTGTAATTATTATTAAAAATTTCCGACCTAATGGAATTCTTACTCTAACAATTCCAACTTAATTCTTAAGTTCCTTCCACTTTGCAAAAAAAATAAAAATATAAAAAAAAAATATTCAATTATAATGGTGTAATTTACTTAAGGTAAGGACCCTTACTAAAGGTAAGGACCCTAACCATATAATAATAATATATTGCATAAATATAAACAAACGAAAAAAAAATGTACACCAGATCAAGAGTCGAATGTATACAAAATTCCACATAAGCTTTGATTTTTGTTTTAACAATAGAAGTAAAATTAGTTCAAATTGAGAAATCAAGTTGGTAGGCCGTTTGACGGTTAAAACAAATGGATTGGATTTAGTAATTTCATAAAATCATTTTAATTTTAATTTTAATTTGAAGCAAAAACATAGAGCGGATTAAAAGCTTACCCTTTGCAGTTATCAATCAAATGTTTATATATGAAATTTTGTAGTTTTTATAAATAAATTGTGCTCACTAAAATCTTGTAGTGTTTGGTATATTACAATATTGAGATTAAATCAGTCCATTAGGCGATGCAAACAAATGTAAAATCATTTTGATATATTTTTTATAAATAAAATTGTTTCAGATTAGGTGTCCAACCTTTTCCAATTGTAGGTACAATTCATGTTTAAGAATATAATGAAATTTTATATTTGTATATTTTCTTAGAAAATGTAATGACTAAAAGATTTTTGTGTTTGGTATATTTTAATCACAAAAATAAGCAACTAGTGTAAAAGGATTCTTAAAAATTGGTAACATGAAAAATGTTTAATTTTTGCTCCAAAAATTGTCTTACAAATTCTTGATACATGTGTTTCATGATTTCCTTATTATATGTAAATAGTGAAATTGAAAATGTATTTATTTTCAGATCCCAACGAATATAAATTTGTTTAGAACATAAAAAAGTGACCACCATTCATCAATTATATGTAACTGCAGATTTTTCAATAGCTAATTATGATATCATGTAGGAATAGGACAAGAAATAAATTAACATAATTTATCAAGAACTATAAATAAATATATAGTCCAAGAAGAAAAAAATGCAATTTGCTTGAAATTGAATAGATATGATTAGATAAAGTATCTAAACATTATAAAACGGTCTTTTAAAAAAACTGAGAAGATTTTTTAAGTTAGTTGTGTGGGGACCACATCTCCGAATATAAGAGCATCTTCAGTGGCACCCCAATAGATAAAAAAATAGATAAAAATTATGTGCCGTAGATATGTCTCTACATTATTTCCAGTGGGCTATTTTGTAGGCCATGTTATGATGACATGGCGATAACATTTGCATCTAGAAACACGTCATCAAATAGATGGGAAAACGAATACAAAATGAGAAAAAATCATTGTCAATATTATTTATTCTATTTTTTTGTAGATAAAACCCATTTTTTTAACTTCGAAATAACTAATCTATATGTTGCAACTAAAATTTTAATATTTGTTTTAGTAATTGCACTTTCAACATTTTAAAAAACTAAACTACTTTATTACTTATTTTATTTCGTGGAGATAAAAGCCATTTTTTTTAATTTGAAATAATTAATCGTATGTCGTATTTTGTAATTAAAGTTTTAATATTTTTTCCCAAATTATCTTTTGATGCTGTGTTAATATGTTTTATCCTTGAAATATTTCTTACAAAACTACTTTATAATTTGATTTTGTTTATTTTAAAAATAAATATATGCATGAATGAAAGTATGCATTGGAAATGATAATCCACAATCGTTATTTATAGCATGATTGGTATGATGGAATGAAATTTCGTAGTAATGGAATGAATTGAAGAATGGAATGATTATGGGAATGGTATGAAACATGTTTTGTCATTGATGCGTTTGGTATGCAGAAGGAATAAGACTGGAATGAGATGACATTATTATTTTTTATTATAAAAATAAATAAAAACTTTTTTTAAAAATAATATAATTTTAATAAATTATATATAAATGCTTTTTTAATAATATATAAAAATAAAATAATATATTTTTAATAATATATAAAAATAAAATAATATATTTTAAAATTATATATAGAAAGTAATATATTCTTAAAAGTAATATATTTTTAAAATAATCCGTCACTCTTTTAAAGGAATGGAATGATCATTCCTTTACTAAGTATCCACTTTATTAATCCTTTACTAAGTATCCACTTTATTACTTAGTAAAGGATCCACTTTAAAATATATTACTTAATAATAAAGTGGATACTTAGTAAAGGATCCACTTTATTACTTAGTAAAGGATTATTTTAAAGTAATGGAATGATCACTCTTTTTTTTAATATATCCACTTTAAAATAATCCTTTACTAAGTAATATATTCTTAAAAGTAATATATACCAATCATGGGATAAGGAATAAGTAAAGGAATGATCACAGCCTAATTGTTTATCGTCATGTGGCAGAAAATTTTAACTTTGACATTGAGGCATTCGAGATGCTCTAAGATAAGGATGGATGTCCAATTTATGGGGATCTGAGCTTGCAACATGAACTAAAATTTCATTTCTAGTTCATGCCACTCATATATCATACAACATAAGGTAAATGTTGGGTTTGGTGGCTAATTCAATTTCTTAGATACGACGTGCTCAANNNAACAGCGATTACAGTCAGGTTAATCACTACCCTAATGATCCTCTTGCGAATAAGAAAACGAGCCCTGACAATAAAATTACTTTTATCACAAATGAAGATTATAAGACAATCAAATCTTCAGACAAAATTATTTAGAGAAGATTGTCAAAAGCAAATAGCAAGAATAACATTCATACAATCATCAATAAAAAAAGAGTGACGGATTACTCCATTTAAACTTTCCCACTTTTCTTTACATTAGAGCCTCAATTGCTTCTCGTTTATATTGCATTAGGACATTATAACGTTGTTAATCTTTTTACATTAGGATCGTATTATATAATTTCATTATGTTTCCTTCACAGGAATACAATTTTTCTATGTTGTGATATTATATTTTAATTACAATTCATATAATTATTTAACTAAGTATCCACTTTATATTTGATGTGCCACTGAGTTATTACTTATTAGTATAAAAGAATACAAGATTTAAGTTTCATTACAATATGCTAACTAAAATAATTTTTACGACCAGATAAATCATACCACCACGTACATCGTACGTTTCACCTACTGGTAATTATAAGATGGACGGAAAATAGTGAGTACCATCACTTACAAGTAATTATAAATTTAATAGAGGATAAGTGAGTACCTCTTTGCCAATCTTTCCACTAATTGTTCCGCCTTTGATTGAGGCTATGAGCTCTCCCAATTCATGAGGGGTAAGTTTAATTTCGTTGATAGATAGCTTTTCATTATTCATATAAGCAGCAATGTCACCCATTATCCAATTGGCAGCAAGTTTTACATCAGCACCTTCTGCAATTGTGTCATCAAAAAATGCTGCTACCTGCAAAAGACATTTATAGTATGTATTAAAACAAAACCGCCTTTGGGGAATAACCACCAAAAAATAGGAATACAACTTGTGTCTTCCAACCAGGTCAAACCTCAAGCGATTTTTTCTTTACTCATCTTTGTTCTTTTACTTTGTTATTTACCGTGAAATAATATACTGATGATATAACCTCAGCAATGCACATTCAGCTGTTCCAACTACACTCTGCATTAGTTAGCATTTTACAATTCAACATGTGTGACCTTATTCGGTGCTGAACTGAAGTTGTAAAAAGTGCTTTTTAATTGTGAAAAAAACAAATCCAGATGCAGAATAAAATAGATTAATTATACTTTCCCTGTTATATATCAGAACCATAAGCAGAAGTTGACATTTGAAAACACCAAAATCACTTATTCTTATCTTCTTCTTTTTTTTTTTTCTCTCTTCTTTTAGCTATTGCAAACAATCCCATAACTGAGACTCAATCAAACAGGTAAAAATTCACAACATCTACCATGCAGATATTCTGTGATTACGAGGGAGTTGAAACAGGGAAAGCAAAACAAGTATTACTTACACCAACGTCATTTGTAAGAAAAAGAACATCTGGCATGCTCAATCCAAAGTTCTCATATCTCCTACGTTTCATTTCAGGTAATTCGGGTAACGAGTCACGAATTCCATTAATGTACTCCTCACTGAGATCAACTCCTGGAAGATCAGGCTCCGGAAAATATCGATAATCAGAAAGTCCTTCCTTCTTTCTCATTGTTACTGTTTTCTAATTTGCAACAGAGAACCAATGGGTCAGTAACAAAGTCATGGAGCTACGATAATAAGATACTTACAACAATCTTAAGGAACATTTACATTAAATGACCCTCGGAGTTTGCCTAATCACAAATAGCCTCATTATCTTTCTCACAGCAATTTCAAGGGCAAAAAATAGTATATTTTGTAATTAGAATAAACCTCAAAAGGGGTGATTTTTTTTATTAATTTACTAACCCTTAATTTAGGACATAATGAAATATGACCTGAGCTCCTTCCTCCCAGAGACGAGTTTCTTGCACAATCTGATTAGCTTGACCTTGATTGTGAAGCTGAACTTGCCGTGATATCTCAAAATCAATGGCTCTACTGATTGATGAGAATGAGTTCAGGTTTTTTATCTCGACCTGTTCATGCAAATTATCACTGAATAGATCTTAGGTCAGAAGGGAAGGTAAAGAAAAAGGAGGAAAGAAGAAAAGAAAAACGAGCAGCTATATTACAAGAACCACATCATCTCAATCCTTGATTGCAACCTGGACGACTCATAAGTTACTATAAAAACGCAAAAGCTAACCATCCATGCGCCACTCCTTATTTTTATTTTATTTAAAAAAAAAAAGAAAGAAAAAAAGAAAAGAATAAGAAAATTAGTTGAAAAAGATTGCACAACTTTTAACGGGCCAGTTCTTTGAAGTAGCAACTACACTCTAACAGTTCAAATGTTTTTGTCTCACAGATGAGCAGTAAAAGAACAGTGGATCAAAGCAATATTTCACCTTGGTACCAAACTCGAGTTGCCCTATCGGACGAACAGAGATGTTGACATCACAACGGAGGGAGCCTTCTTGCATGTTGCCATTACTCACTCCAAGGTACCTAACTAGTCTCTGTAGCTCAGCACCATATTCGGCGGCCTCAATACCCGTCCTCATGTCAGGTTCTGACACGATCTCAAGCAACGGCACTCCTGCCCTATTCAAGTCAACCTGTCAATTTTTTCAAAAGAAAAAATGTTGAAAGAATGAAAGAGAAATTTAAGATGAAATCAATAACAGCCTAAAGAGGAAAGCAGCAAACGTTTAACATCATATATTTGTACGCCTTATTATGTTCAAAAAACTTGAGCCTGAAACAGGTTGCTAGTGCGAAAATTAAACGACTGAGGAATCATTGTGCAGAAGTTTTTCATGATTAGAAATGTGAGAGCAAGAGGAAGTATTTGTGAAAATTTATCCCGTAGAAGAAGTGATTTATTTGGGCAGAAGCTGAAAATAGTTGAGAATCAGAGGTTAGGTTTACATGTAGACCCTAAAAATTGAATAGATAAAAGATGGTGTCTGTCCGTAAAAGTCAAAACTACAAGCAGTACTAGAAATTTAAAGCACCTTTCCTACTCCCTCTATCTCTTTGTTTCTCCATCTCTCTGATGATGTTAGACTTTGATTAAATTACCCAGAATCATATGCCGGTGTTGATATCAGGAAACACTGAGATTGAATTTTTATCAAGCAGATGCTGACAAACACCTTTTCTTTTTTAACAATTGCACTCAGTCCTAAAGTACTAGGACAAAGCAAATAGAGCATGTTCCAAAGGGCCCACTTAAACACCATCAATCGACTGATGGTACACAAAAGCTTCAAGATGGATTAAAAATAAGTAGGAGATAATATGATAAGAAAATAACAGATCTGTAATTTGCCTGAGAATAATTCCCACTCCCAGTATGAAGCAGCTTCCCGGCATCCTCCTCCATATGAACCCGTGTGATGCCAAACTTTCGATGCCCGCCACCAAACTCAACTGGAAGATCAACGTCTAAATAGCCGTTGCTGGCAATAGGGACATCAAACTGCGAAATTTGGTAACCTTTTGGGAGGTCAGGATAGAAGTACTGCTTTCTATCAAACTTGGAGCCCAGAGAAAGTCTGCAGCTGAGTGCAAGGCCCACTTTGACCGCATACTCTATCACCTTTGAGTTGAGCACTGGCAATGCCCCGGGCAGCCCCATGCAAATTGGACAGATACTGCTGTTTGGCTGTGCCCCATAATTGTAAGGGCAGCTGCAGAAGGCCTTCGTGTGGGTGGAAAGCTGGACATGAGTCTCAATACCTATGACCGCCTCATAATTTTTCAATATTTCTTCAATTTTCTGTGATTTTTTCGGGGGTGATGATTTAAGCTGAGTGTGTTTCTTTTGTTCTTGTGTGGCCGTTTGTGCTTCCGGAACTCTTGTGCTACAGTACAGTACACCATGTTTTCTAGCAACATATACTGATGGGTACAATTGGAAACAATTTGGTCTCACGCCCCTGAATAATGTCAATGCCATTTCGAATATTTGTAAGTCTTCAGATTTCGTGAGACATGAGAAGTATACCTACAAATAGCATTAACACCATCATATATACGAAGATCCCAAAATTCATGTAGGAAAAACAAACTGTGTGAACAACAATGCATAAACTTTAAGTAAGGAAGGAGACTTTGTCTACAAGAACCAGTTGAGAGAATAACAATACAGAAAGCCTCAAACTTCAAATGCAAAAACAGATTTAAGCTGTAAGAACAGGCTATGGGCTGTTCAAAGTTCACGACTTAGTGATTAAGAATTCAAACTTGTAGGCATGCCAAAACGGCCCGGCGGGGTGGGCCAGCCCGCAGTCCGTCGAAACCCGCCACGGGCCGTGGGCTAGGCAGGCTGGACCACCAAAATTGAGGGAAACACCACCACCACCAACAACAACAACAACAACAAACTGGCCCGCAGTGCTGTGAGTCTGCTGAGACCCAAAAAAAAACTGGAAAAACTCACAATTTCAGGGTTCATACCAATCAAAATTAATCAATAAGTCCAAAATTAATCAAAGTCCTAATGTGCTCACACTTCACAGAATCACAGTCCACATACGCATCAAAAATCAATCAATAAGCCAAAAAAATTAGCAATTACCGGAATGGAAGCTGCCTCGCCGCTCGGAGTCACTCTCTGTGCCGCTGAGTCACCGCTCACCGCTCGCCGGCTCGCAATCTCGCTTCCTCTTCCTCACAGCCGCCGCCCGTCAGCAGTCTCGAAGGTCTCGTACTCTCGCTTCTCGCCGCTGGTCTCGCAGGTCACGCTTCTCGCCTGCCACAGTGCCTTCGTCGCCGCTAGGGTTGACAGATTAGGTTTTGCCCCAAATAGTTGAGAGATGAGATTAGGATTTAGGATAGGGTTCACGAATCGTCTTCTCTGTTTTGTCATTTGTGTTTCATTTTCTGAAATGTAAAAGAAGAAACGTGTTTGAGTTCGGTACGAGAATGTCAAATGTGTTTTCAAAACTAGTGCGCACAAGAAAGTAATATTAAACTTTTTTTCTTTTTCTTTTTTTAAACGGGAAAATGAAACAAAAAATAAGTCAGTATAGATAAGTTCCTTAATCCAAGACGAGAAAACATCCACTGTCCATAAGAAAGGAGAGTTTGAAAAAGAAGCAAATTTTAAAAGAGCATGAGCGACATTATTGGTCGAACGACGCATATGATAGAGACGTCTAGATGATGCCGCTTGAGACATAAGAGCATCAATATCTTTATACCAAGATTGAATATAGTCATGGGTCTCATTGAAGTAGGTAACTGCTTGTACCGTCAACAAAGAGTCCGTGTAAATAAAGAGGGCAACTTGGTGCAATGAGCAACATTTATCCAAACCTACTTTGATTGCCAGGAGCTCACAATGGATAAGCGACCCAGATTAATGACTGGCATTCTAAAGGCAAAAAGAGTTCTACCTTGATCATCACGAGTGATTCCCCCTATACCGAATCTGTCAGCTTTCATATTAACACTTGCATCCACATCAAGGCAAACTGAATTTTTGGGGGGAGGGTTCCATTTGATATTTCTTTGACTATCTTCTGAACATTGAATATTCTGAGGGATGCCGGATGAAATTTGAAAGTTACTTGCTATGCTTTCAACTCCAGCAACTAACCTGCAGTCATTGAGATCGGGACCATAGATAACCCTTTGTCTTTCTTTCCAAATTAATCGAGTTGACAGAGCAAAAATTTCAAATTCGTGAACTGTCAGACTTAGTTGCATCCAAATACAAAAGTTCAAAGTAGAGCCAAATTTTGTCTTTCTAACAAGATGGAAAAAGATAGTATTTTTCCATAGTGGCATCACCCGAGAACAGAAAAAAATAGAATGCAGGGATGTATCATAATAATAATTACATAGCTTGCACCCACTGGAAGAAGAGACATGGCGATTAGTTAATTTTAGAGCTGTGGGAATAAAATCATTTGTTAAACGCAACCAAAAGGTTTTGACCTTTAAAGGGATGTTCAAAGCCCATAAGAATTTCCACCACTTCCGAAGATTCATTGCATATTGGCTTTAGGGGGAAGCGTAGAATCCTATTTCAACTTTATAGCCCTCTTTAACTGAATAATTTCCTTTACCATCGGACCACCAAAAGCGATCATCCTTTAAAGTTAAATGTTAGACTAAACAAACATATTGAGGTTATTTTTAAAATTAAATATTGGACTAAATAATCATATTAAATATTATTAATAAATTAAATGTTGGACTAAACGAATATTGGACTAAATAATCATTTATTCAATTATTAATTGCCTTAAGTTTTAAAGATAAAAGAGTACTAAATTTAAATTAATTTCAAATGTTAATGTATCTCAAAAAGGCGAGTTATAAATTATGCGGTGGATTCAGATATGCGATTATGAAATATGCAAAAATATTGTGTGTAATTATTAACCATACGTTCAATTTGAATATATGTGACAAAATCTAGCATAATTGTTAATTATGAATAATGCGGCTTTCGATTTGAATATGCGATTTGTAAATATGCGAACATATTATGCATGATCATTCATTATACGGCATTATAATTCTGGATATGTGAGTCGTCAACTATGCGAAACAATGTCGCATAATTATCATGATATTCAATTTGGATATGCAATATCTAAATATGCGAAACTTTCCCCCATATGTTAAATTATGCGGTGGATTTTAAATATACGCTTATGAAATATGCGAAAGTATTTCATACAATTATTAACTATTCCAATTTGGATATGCATTGCTATATATATGAATCTAGGATAATTATGCGGTTCATTTTTATATACGATTTTTATATGACATCATTTTGGGAGTTTTTTAAGTGAATAGTATTTTTTTGTAGATCGTTGTGCAACAGAAAATGCATGTATACATTAGATGTAGAAGATATCTGCCCTTTTATTTAATCATTTTAAATATTATTTTATTATAAACTCACAATACCATTTAAATTTAACTCAACTAACTTTTACAAAATTAAGTTTGGTTTAAAAAAAGTCTGATTAACAAAAAAGCCAATCAAAACCAAATCATCCAATCACAAACTTATATCAACCAATCTTTTCAATTTTTTCTAATGAAATCCACAATCTCAAATTAGGGCCACATTTTTTTTTATTGCAAAAAAAAAAATGTGGCCCTAATTTGAGATTGTGGATTTCATTAGAAACTAATATAGGACGATAAAAAAAAACTAGGGCCACATTTTGACAGATAAAAGGAATTCGCCAGTCGTCGAAGAAAAAAAAGCATCCAAGGAAAAAAAAAACTGTTGTAAATAATGCGCAAACAATAGTCCTTTGCACAAATTAGACTATGTTGTGAATAATGGACTATTGTACAAATTAGACTATGAATAGTACATTATGTAAAAATGTCAAGAAAGGTAGCAAAAGTTTTACCTATAAATATGGCTCAATTCATTGAGCATGTACACATAGAAATACAAGAACAAAAGAAAAAAAGAAGAGAAAGAAATAAAGGAGAGAAAACTTAGTAAAAATTTGTCTTCGGTTTATATATTTGTGTTCTTTATTTTCCTAGTATTCATAACACGTTATCAGCACAAACGCTCTACCCGGTCAGAAAGGTAGAAATATATTAATTATATATATGTATATACATATATATATGTATATATAAAATTAGTATATTTTACTAATTTTTATATTACCATTATTATTGGCAACTAAGGCTCTGCCATAGTCAATAATATGTGGTAAGATAATATTATTAAATTTACTTATGAATTACTACTGATTATGAACATAATATTATTAATTGTACTTCACACCCACAAAATGGTTTACCCAGTAATGTGGCGTGGAATTTATAACTGCTTATTCTTGTACCCACCGAAAGATTTATCGAGTAGTGTGGGGTGACATTTTTATTTGTTGTATTAGCTAAAATGTTTACTAAGTAACCTGGATAATTTTAAGTTAATATGCATGATTAATTAAATTTTCATGAATGATATTATATCAATAATGTGTTTTTATTAAAAAAAATTAGTAAAAAAAAAAAAATCTAACGACTCTTTTTGTAACGGCTATTTATCAATTTATATATATCGCACTTCACTTCATGTATTAACACTCATTCCAAAATACTACAATATATTCTCCTCAAGAAAAAAAAAATGTTTGATCTATTATTTGTAATTACCATTATTTTGGTTATTATATACGCTTCAGGAATATTCATGATGTTGTATCATACTGTTGAATTTATATTTTATGTATTAGGTCTTTTTCTAATGTGTTTCTTATTAGTCGTTCTGATCGGTTTGAATAATGAATGATTGTATTTGTAATTTTCTTAAATCTAAGCATTGATGTTGTATTTTATAGTTATCATGTCAAACTTGGTGAAGCTCGAGTTTGAAGCACTTGACATCACTGGAAAAAATTACATTTCATGGACACTAGATGCTGAAATTCATCTGGATGCAATGGAATTGGGAAAAACAAAAGTTTTCCCAAATGATTCATCCATACAAGAAAAGTGAAAACCATGATTTTTCTAAGACATCATATGAATGAGGGGTTAAAAAATAAATATTTAACTGTGAAAGATCCAACAGATCTTTGGAAAGCCTTGAAAGAAAGGTATGTTCATCAAAAAACAATTATTCTCTCCCGGGCTCGCCATGAATTGATGTCATTACGTTTCCAAGATTTTAAAAAAGTGAGCGAATATAATTCAACAATGTTTCGAATTTGCTCAGTGCTAAAATTATGCGGGAAAACGGTAACTGACTATGATATGTTGAAAAAAACATTGTCCACGTTCCATGCGTCCAATGTACTTTTGCAACAACAATATCGAGCAAAAAGTTTTGAACAATATTCTGAGTTGATTTCTTGTATGTTGTTAGCTGAACAAAATAATGAGCTATTAATGAAAAATCATGAATCTAGACCCACGGTGTCTACTGCGGTCCCTGAAATAAATGTTGAAATCTCTAGACAGGGAACCGGAAATGATAACAACCATACTCATGGACGTCGATATGACTCGGGTCGTGGCCGTGGACGTGGATATGGTCCTGATAACCGTTATGGCCAAGGCCGAAAATTTCACCGAGGATACAATTCAGGCCGAGGATAAAATCGTGGACATGGCCAAAATGATGCCCAGAACTGTGAAAGGGGGAGAAATTTTCAGCAAATTCTTGACATAATAAAGGGGAAGAAAATTCTATGGAAGATAATTATGATAAAGCATGTTATCGATGTGGTAGAAAGGGCATTGGGCTCGAAATTGTCGAGTCCCAAGGCACGTGGTTGAAAGTTACCAGGATTCCCAGAAATCAAAAGGGAAGAATGTTGAAACTAATTTTATGATGGGGGAATCGTCCGAAAATGAACAGATACGTGCAGAAAATGACTATAACATCGATGATATGCTGAGAATGGATTTTGCTGATGCAGTGTTTGAAGAAGAAGCTGCAAATAATCAAGAATAATTGATGATCTGTTTTCTGTGTGATTGATGAAATTTCTAAGTATGATTGTAATAGTATGTGTACCATCATTATATGTACTTCGAAATTAACCAATAATATTTTTATTTTTGTTTTAGATCATGGAACAATCACGAATCCAAAATGGAGATTTATATCTTGCAGATTGTGCCACTACCCACACTATACTTAAAGACAGAAAATATTTTGTTCACTTAGAAACAAATAAAGCGAAAGTGAACACAATATCAGGATGTTCAAAGATAACTAAGGGGTCTGAAAATGCCATATTTTTTACGATGGGAAGTACAAAATTTACAGTGAATGATGCGTTATTCTCCCCAAAATCAACAAGAAACTTGTTGAGCTTTAAAGATATCCGAATGAACGGATATCATGTTGAAACAATGAATAAAAGGGGAGATGAATATCTTTGCATTACCTCAAATATTGTGGGAAATAAATGTGTTTTGATGAGGTTACCAGCTTTTTCCTCGGGTTTATATTACACCTGCATTAATATAATCGAGGCTACTGCTGCAACAAATTCAAAGTCGAATGAGATGTTTAAACTTTGGCATGATCGACTTGGTCACCCTGGCTCGATAATGATCAGAAAAATTATTGAAAATTCTAATGGTCATCCCATTAAAAAATCAGAGGATATTGCAAACACATGAATTGACATGTGCCTCATGTTCTCAAGAGAAATTGATAGTGAGACCATCACATACTAAAGTCGGACATGAATCACCATTATTTTTAGAAAGGATTCATGGTGATATATGTGGACCTATTCATCCACCTTGTGGTCCATTCAGATATTTTATGGTGTTGATTGATGCCTCTAGTAGATGGTCTCACGTGAGCTTGTTATCCACTCGAAATGTGGCATTTGCTAAATTACTCGCCCAACTTATTAAATTAAGGGTTCAATTCCCATATTATGTTATCAAAAGGGTCAGACTTGACAATGCTGGTGAGTTTACATCTTAAGCATTTAATGACTATTGTATGGCAGTGAGAATTGATGTTGAACATCCTGTGTCACATGTTCACACTCAAAATGGTCTAGCAGAATCATTAATTATACGACTGCAGCTTATAGCTAGACCATTAATAATGAGGACAAAACTCCCCACTTCAGTATGGGGACATGTTGTTCTGCAGGCAGATAATCTAATTCGAATAAGACCAAGTACATACCATAATTACTCGCCATTACAGTTGGCGTATGGCCGAGAACCAAATATTGCACATATAAGAGTTTTTGGTTGTGCAGTGTATGTACCAATTGCTCCACCCCAACGTACAAAAATGGATTCTCAAAGAAGGTTGGGAATATATGTTGAATATGAATCTCGATCAATAATCAATACCTTGACAAAAAACAGGTGATGTTTTTACAGCTCGGTTTGATGATTGCCATTTTAATGAAGAATTATTTTCCCAATTACGTGGGAATGAAAAATCAATTGAGAGAAATATTTAATGGAGAACATCATCACTATCATATCTTGATATTCCCACTAAACAAAGAGAGCAAGAAGTTCAAAAGATCATACATATGCTGAATATTGCAAATCAATTGTCAGATACATTTACTGATTTAAAAAGGGTGACCAAATCACATGTGGCAGCTGTAAATGCTCCTGCTCGACTTGAGATTCCAAAAGTAATGGCAAATGATAATATGCCAAATGAGTCAAAGACACGTTTGAAACGAGGAAGACCAATTGGGTCTAAAGATAAGAATCCTCGAAAGAAAAGAGAAATTCAAGACTCGAATTTGAAAAATAATCAAGATGATGAAAAAATTTCAGAAAGAAATAAAAATATTGAAATTTCCATTAATTACGTGAATAATGGAAATATTTGGAAGCGTGATGAGTTCATAAATATTGATGATGCATTTGCATATATGGTATCGAAAGAAATTAATAATGAAGTTGAGGATCCTGAACCAAAATCGGTAATTGAATGTCGGAAAAGACATAGTTGGGATAAGTGGAAAGGTGTCATCCAAGCTGAGTTAGATTCACTCAATAAACGAAAAGTTTTTTGGCCTATTTCCATTACACCAAAAGGCATAAAACCTATTGGATACAAATGGGTTTTCATCAGAAAAAATAAATGAGAAAAATGAGATCACGAGATATAAAGCTCGCCTTGTAGCACAGGGATTCTCCCAAAGGCCTGAGATTGATTATGATGAAACATATTCCCCTGTCATGGATGCAATTACTTTCAGATACTTAATCAGTTTAGCTATCCATGAAAATCTTGAGATGCGTCTCATGGATGTTGTGACTGCTTACTTGTATGGATCATTAGACGCAGACATTTACATGAAAGTTCCTGAATGAATCGTAATGCCCGAAGCACTAAACTCCAAACCTAAAGAGTTATGTGCGATAAAGCTACAAAGGTCATTATATGGCTTGAAACAATCCGGCCATGTGGTATAATTGTTTGAGTGAACAATGACTTAAAAGGGATACTTAAATGATCAAATATGTCTGTGTGTCTTTATAAAGAAATCAAATGATGGAGTTGTGATAATTGTTGTCTATGTTGATGATCTTAATATTATTGGGACAGCAAATAAAATTCGAGAAGCAGTCTGAAAGGCGAATTTGAAATGAAAGATCTCGGAAAAATCAAATATTGCCTCGACTTACAGATAGAGAGGGTACAGAATGGGATATTTGTCCATCAATCTAACTATACTAAAAGAGTACTGAAACAATTCAATATGGACAAAGCTAATCCCCTTAGTACTCCGATAGTTAATCGAACATTGGATGTTGAAAAGGATCCATTTCGACCTTGTGAAGAAAATGAAGAAATACTTGGTCCGGAGGTACCATATATGAGTGCAATAGGAGCTCTTATGTATCTTGATAATTGCACTAGACCAGATATATCTTTTGCTACCAACTTGTTAGCAAGATATAACTCGTCACCTACGAGGAGACACTGGAATGAAATCAAGTATATATTCCGTTATCTCCAAGGAACAACCGATCTGGGATTATTTTACTCAAATGATAAAAAAACATGAAATGATTGATTTTGCAGATACAGGATATTTATCAGACCCACATAAGACGAGATCTCAAACTGGCTACGTATTCAAGATTGGTGGAACTGCATTTTCTTAGCGTTCTCAAAAACAAACACTGATTGTTACATCTTCAAATCATGCTGAAATCATTGCACTTCATGAAGCAACTAGGGAAAGCATCTGGCTCAGAAACATGACTCAACACATTCAACAAGCCAGTGGATTATCAAATAATAAAGATTCGACGGTGATATTTGAAGACAATACAGCATGTGTCGCTCAAACCAAAAAAGGATACATTAAGAGTGACAGAACTAAACATATCCCACCAAAGTTCTTCTCGTACACTCAAGAACTTGAAAGGAACAAACAGATCAAGGTTCAATACATCCGATCAAGTGATAATGCAGCAAATTTATTTACGAAGGCGCTCCCAACTACAACATTCCGAAAGCACGTTCATAACATCGGAATGAGACATCTTCGAGATTTGCACAGATGATTACTCGAGGGGGAGCATGTGCGATTGTACTCTTTTTCTTATCTCGGTTTTTTCCCCATAGGGTTTTTCCAGATAAGGTTTTTAACGAGACAGCATAAACGCACATTTAATAGTGATAATTCTAAGGGGTGGAATGTACCTGATGGCAACAAGATATAATTCCTCATGATGACTAGAAGATAATGGAGTAGTTGTACTCTTTTTCCTTCGATCAAGTTTTTCTTCCACTGAGTTTTCTTGACAAGGTTTTAACGAGGCAGCACGTGGATACTCCACTAAAGATGATATATTTGAGGAGGAGAAATGTTGTGATTTGAGGAGGAGAAATGTTGTGATTCAACAATGCTCAGGTTTTGTCCCTCCGGGTTTTCCTGACATGCTGAATAACTAATGTACATTTTATAATTGTTAGTCCAAGGGAAAGTGTTGTAAATAATAGACTAACAATAGTCCTTTGTACAAATTAGACTATGTTGCGAATAATGGACTATTGTACAAATTAGACTATGAATAGTACATTATGTAAAAATGTCAAAAAAGGTGGCAAAAATTTTACCTATAAATATGGCTCAATTCATTGAACATGTACACATAGAAATACAAGAAAGAAAGAAGAGAAAGAAATAAAGAAGAGAAAATTTAGTAAAAATTTATATCCGATTTATATATTTGTGTTCTTTATTTTTCTATTATTCATAACAAAAACAAATATAGGACGAAATATTAAAACAAGGAACCAAAACATAAGCCTTCTCAAGAAATAATTCGTATCGTTTTGAGGAAAAAAAATATAACAATTATCATTACTGTTTAACAAGACTATCAAGGGATACATTTCTGATATCACAACATGACCAAGACAACCTATCTTAACCCACCACACACCACCCCAAGTGAACACAAAGTGACCCAAGAGATAAAAAATGAATATTAGGCCAAGAAAAGCCCAAACCTGCTGGCAATTAATTTATTAAGTCCCAAAAACATGTCTGTGCACAGGTTTGATATCTAAAGTGTCAAGAACTCCTATCCATGGCTTGTCTATGACCAGTAGCGAATTTTTCGAAAGATGTTCCACGTATAAAACAGGATCCCTGAAAGCACAAAATTCAAAGTTTTTTCGGCCACCGTTTTTGGTTTCTAGTTCATGCAGTTTACGTTTCAGTACCCCATTGCTGTGTAATTTTCTCGTCAGTCCCTGTTCGTTGGCCAGGTCAGCATAGTCTTCTTTATCAACAGGCATCCCGAAATCAATCAAGCACATTGCCCTGCAGTATAAAATGGTTATGGCAATGGAAATTTTTTAGAGGTAAAGTCTGGGAAAATAGTGGGTGGTTAAATTCGCTCCTCGAAATATTCAATACATTTACGAAAGGATCACACCATTAAAAGTCAAGAATCCATCCACATTTACTCTCAAGGAAATTTTAGTACCAAAATCTTTTACTTTATCTGAAAACCATAGAAGAATGCATCATAACAAAAAGATTGTGGACCAGCATACATTCATTCGAGCAAACAAGATGGGTTAAAAAATTCTTATGTTTCTATCAAAGCTTATCACTTTTTAAAGCAATCCAATACAGTTGATACTTCATAGGATCATAAAAACCTCCAAGAAAATAAATAAAATATCCAAAGCAAAAAATAACAGACTATTTAACAGAGAATATCATAATTGATGATTGGAGGGTTGTATACTCAACGAAGTTGGACAAGGAAGAAAAAGAAAAGTTTTGTGTAGCCTGGTGGCCTCACTAAAAAGATAAACTAAACCCAGCAAACTCTTAATTTTTGCCATTTACAATTCAAAAAAGCTAAACGTGATTAACATATAATGTAATAGCTTCTAACAAAATAGTGCAACAAAAGCACCTGATAAAAAAGGTTATACATTTACCTTGGACTATAGACAATGACAGAAGAAGAATTAGACGATGGTGGGAAGGAAAGACCAATAACTTCTCCAGGGAACTCTTGATATGTTTTCGGTAGAGAAAAAGTGTGGCGCATGGACCACTCTCCCAACTGCTTAGCCTCCACATCTAATGCATACACCTGATTTGAAGAGGTGGAGATTATGAGAATATTGCTGTTTTGTGGACTAAAACCACCAGCAGTTACAGAGGCTCCATCCAATCTCGATATAAACCAGTGTTGTCTGCAATGAAAATAATTTTGTTACATCAAGGAAATCATCAACATTTTCACAGAAAAAATAGAATATAAAAATGGAGTTGCAATTTTTCTTCATACACCAGATCATCAAGCATTAAAGATAGCATTGCATTTTTGTAAAAGTGCCAGTTAAACGAACTAGTTTTACCCAAAAATGTAAAGCAGGCGTGTCCCACAAAAGCAATTATGAAACAGTATGAACCTTCCACAAAGTAAAATATTTTTACAGACATGCATTAATATTATTAACTTGACGTTTAGAGTTAACAAAATTGCCTACCAAGTTGCAGATATTCTTAGTAAAAAATAATAATCAAAATTGATAGTTCGTAAAAGCAGATGCAACTTGATCCATACAAGGCTAATTTACACCGTTCAACAAGAAACGAGAGCACCATACCTTAGTGTCTCGAGATTGAAAATATACACATCTCCAAAACAGTTGATGGCAGCAAACCACTGGCCATCAGCACTTGTGAACATCTTAGTGATGGGAGGTTCACCAGGCGGCAGGGTCTGATCATCGTCTTTGCGGCAAGGAGTGAAAGCATGCACTAATTCCGTACTTCCCACCTCTACCATCTTCAACATGATTATAAATTTAAAGAATATTAATCCAATACTAAGCGACTAAATAATGGGAGTCCAAAGTAAACATCAAATGGAACTCCAAAATGACAATTTACTCGTTTATTCACATCTCATTCACCATTTACCCAAAATTGATTCTTCTACTACAAATTTTGTCAATGACAAGTATGGAAAGAAGCACACATGCATGCAGAAGCATCCATGTTTAACAGATAGCAAACAAGTGATATTACAATTGATAAGGTTGTATGAAAGGATATTGTGAAACACAGCAACTCAATAAAATGTGTTGCGGACATCGTTTGCAGGGCAATTTCTATAAAATGCTTCAGATAAAAATTTAACATGAGCATACACAATACAGCCTCAATAATAAAGTCTTTAGTGTGAAAGTCCTGGGAAGTTAAAGTTCTGGCAGATATATAAATGCATAATTCCACTCAGCAATAGCAATAAAACAAAGGGCTCGATGAGCCAAATTTCCTTTCAGCATAAAGTGCCTCAGTTTAACTCCAACCTTCAATTGATTAAATAACATCATTTCTCATACTGTGGTCTTTTCATAAGGGTTGGCAGTTTGTCATTTCTCAAAAAAGTAAGTACTATTCAAAAGGCTAGAAGATCGCCAATTAATACGGACAAACAAAAAGCATGCCTAAAATTATGGAAACAGAAAAAGGATAGGTAGTACATACATATATCCTCCTGTCATGCCCAGCTAGTAGTAATCGTGAAGAATCAGAAGTGAAAACCATGTAGTGAGCAAATGGCAATTCCTTAGGCAGCAGCCTTTTATTTACAGTCCAAGAACCCTTGCCTGATTTATTTCTCCTCAATTCAAATAAACTGGGTTTTACATGGTCGGAATAGGCAAATGAAGTGCCTGACGAAGAAATAGCACTGCAAATGATCTTCTGAGAAACCTTACATTTAACTCGAGCTATTAAATCTGTGCTTGCAATCCCACCAGCTGTTCCAAGACCAAAATTGGATGTACTATGGCTTTTTAAATGCACATAACAGATGTCTAATGAGTGGGCAGCCTGGATCAAAAGCAATGGAGTCGGATTGAGAACTGTTTTAGGCACAAGTTGCATTGGCATTCTCTGTGGTGCAGGGCATATATCATGTGGCGAAAACTTGGTGAACTCTTTTACAGAATATGCATAAAGTTTAGTGTCATCACCGGCTGATATAAGCATGGGTACACTCAAATGGGCCCACTTATGGTAACTGAATTCAAGGGGCTTCTTGCGACCTCGTGCCCTCTTCACCTTTTCATTGGGTGGCAGATCTGATTACAAAATGAGAACAGGTGATATGGATTTCAGACACCAAACTGATAAAGAAAATAAGAGAAAAAAAGGTGAAATGAAAAGGCATGCAGACCGAAATCTAATGATGAAAGCATCAAAAGTTAAACAGAGTGCATGAACCTACCTTCATGGCAGATGGGGGTAGCCACAGTCAATGCCCTCACATCATGTGTATGAGCTCTCACATAACCAACATATATCCATTTCTTAATAGCGTCTGGAGCCAACTTTCTGTCACCGGAGGCAACTATCTCACTAGAAAGTTTATACAGTACAACCTACAAAACAAGCAGGTTCCCATCATATAACTTACCATAATACAGAAGAGAGAGCAAAAATAATTTCAAAAAGTGTTTAGAAATCGTACATTCATATTGTCCTCTATATCAGAATTTNGAAAAAAAAAAAGAAGAAGAAGAAATGAGAAGCAGCAAATAAAAGCCTAAAGCACTCACATGTAAAAACTAAGATTTGAACAGAACTTGATACCTCAATGCAAGTAAAGACCATATACATAAATCACTTCCACTGCCCAGCCCTCCAAGCCCAACAGTTATTCTGTAGACCTCATGAAAAGACTTTACATCCCAACATCTAACAAACCTATAATTTTATAATCCAAAAGAAAAGAAAGAAACATTAAGAACTTTCAAAAGGAAAAAAAAAAATCACTAAATGTCTCAACAGCGCCCATTCACAAGTTATGCATACCCGTCACTACTCCCTGAATAAATCCTACTCGAATCAGGACTCCAGGTTACACTTAGGGTACGTCCTGCAAACAGTAAACAATGGGATGCCATATTATAAACCTCAACGCCAAGGATAGCGTAAAAGGTTTCTCAAGATTTCAGAACAGAAATCTCACCAGTGACCCTTGGCAACGTTCTAATGTAAGTAAGCTTTTCTTCATCCGACACACCATAGATTTGCACACAGCCATCATCACAAGCCAGAGCCAGACGGGTACTCTTTTCATCGTCTTGGATTTGAATTTCATGTAGAGCTTTATTGTCATCTTCATCTTCACTTTCACTACCCTCCACTTCATCAACATCACTTGTGGTTTCAGGACTGGCTTGACCATTCTCATGAGGTTTCATTTCTTTCCTACTACTGAGCAGCAAATCATTACACGGCTCTGCAGCAATCTGCCAAATCGAGACGCCAATGGAATCTAGAACTTTCTGCAGTAAAGAATGTAACAAAAAGTAAACCCATCAAAAACTTAATTGAGTCCTTTAATAGAAATAATTTTAGAACGAAATTTCTTCATAAGATTTCTATCCAATGTTATCAATGGCAGAAGGATGAAATCTCACCATGGCCGCTTGTGGCGCCACCATAAACACCATCTTTCACAAATTTTCTAATGGTGGTTAGGCAAAATCCACCAAGCCATACAGGCATGGCATGCGGAAATTTGATAACATTGTTTATCTCTGAATATATAAATGCCTAAGGTACACCAATAACAGAAATACTTAATATTTGAAGAATTTTCAAAACCAAAGTGAACAGACTTTGGAATATTACAATGTAAACCCCATTTTCATATTCTTCTTTATGAAACATGAAGCGACAGTTGATGGCATCATTTACATACAAGGATTTCAATTTTCAAGTACGTAATTTTTTTCCCAATGTCAATTTTGTCATATGCATCAAATATTCCGAACTTACACAAGTTCTAGTCTCACTAGCTGAATTCTATATAAATGCATCATGCAGTACTGCCGTTAGAATATAAAACCATCTACTGAAAATAGTTGCATTTCTTGACGTGAGTGTTTACCTTCTGCCTCAAATCAAACAAATCCCACTCTGAAACTGACCCATCGATGCTTGAAGACAACAGTCGGCCCAATGGCCCACCTCTCGGCCCCGACCTACACCACACCAACGACGACACTCTCGAATTAGGGTCCCCGTGTATCGTCTACACATGAACCCCCAAACACAAATTATCAAATAGAAAANAAAAAAAAAAAAAGGAACCTATTCTTTTTAAACAAAAATGGAAAACGGGTTTTAACATCAAATTAGAAAATTTAGAAAACAAGAGAGTGGTGTGGCGTACAAGCTGACAGTGCCAGCCGACGGAGCCGGGAGAAACGAGCCAAATCTCAAGCGAGCCATCTGCGCGGGCAGCGGCGACCTGAGAGCCGTCGGCGCTAGTGGCTAGAGCCACGACGGCTGAGGGCTTCCACTCAACAGAGCTGATTCTATGAACCTTAAGCATTTCCCCAAATTGAATTCTTTCGAAATTGTAGGGGTTCCGATGAGGAGAGAAGCCTGCATCAGAGAGAAGGCAGAAAAGTGGGCGAAAGAGAAAAATTGGCTGCCGTAGGTTTTCGAGGGTTTAAGCGCGCAAGAGTTTGGCCCAGTTCTGTCGGGCCGGGTACACGTGTCCGTTGCGCAATATGTGGGTCAAATTAATTTGTTTTTTTTTTTTTTTCAAANTCTATGTAAAAAAGAAAAGAAAAGATTATTGTTTAAATCTTTTTTAGAATTTTTTTTTTCCGAAACGATAGAGGTGTTATATATAAAACGCACAAATGTGTAAAAGTACAGCCAACAACTGAATACAAACAACCAATAACTGAATAAAATGGGAGAACAGGTTAAAGTCCGCCTAGAGCCGACCCAAAAGGGGTAATACTCACGAACACACAAAACACTACAAAACACTAAAAACACTAAAAGATCCCAACAAGGTAATAAAATAATTGACTTACTATATGTAGACTTTTTAAAACAACGAGTAATAGCCATAAAAAATCGAAATACATGGCTTCCAAACTTTTGAAATCTGTTTCACCAATTAGTACGCTCACTTATTTTCATTTAACAAAAAACACTTAATTTCTTTTTTAACAAATAATTAATCAGTTACGAGAGGACAAATAAGTTAATCAAACTTCTAGACAAATAAGTTAGGAATTGACAACTTTAATTAATTATTCAATTTAGCTTGACTTATCTTATCATCGAATAACAATTTGAATTTAATCAAACTTATATTTTATATTAATCACATTATTATCATTTATTATCTTATCATCAATATACAATTTGATGATAATATATTAGTCTGATACTATAATATTTATTAACTAATATAGTAGTCTGATGCCATACTAACTATTAGTTGTTCAATTCATGTTGACTTATCATCAAATCACAATTTGAGTTTAATGAAATAACATTTTAAAACCGTAATAAATAATGTAATTGTCTTTAATATTTAACATTAACTAATATAATAATATTTAGTTTGATGTTATACTAACTATTAATTGTTCAATTCACTTTGACTCACCATCAAATCACAATCTATCTATATATATATATATATAAAGAGGAGCAGGAAAACTTTAAATTTTATTTTCATGCATTAAATTTTATTCTCCCTTCAAAATTTTCAGCATTCAATTTTATTTTTAAGTTACAAAATAACTTGCTGGAATACCATAACTTATGAACATAAACCTATCAAGGGAGTTACAAAATTGCATCCAAATTTTAAGTCATACCCATTCATGAAAATGGTCGGGTGTATTAGCATAAAGAAAATGGTTGTAACGACTCTTCCATAGCAATTACTTGATCAAAATCAATTTTGAGAATTATTTTCTTAATTCATATTTTTTTTCATGAATTAAATTATGATTTATTTTTGTTTTTTTATGTTTTTATGTTTTTAAAGTATTCGCCTATGTGCAAATGCACAGGTTAATTACTTGTTTGAATTAAATCAAATAACATTTCAAAACCATAATAAATAATATAAGTGTCTTTAATATTTAACATTAACTAATATAATAACATTTAGCCCGATGCTATACTAACTAAAATTCAGTCAATTTGAACACGTGTTCATTATTTGGTTACCTTTCTACACGAAAGTATCTTAACTGCTTAACAAATTAATTTACTATTCAAATAATTTGGACTTATCTTATCATCACATCACAATATTCAAACTCATATTAAATTTATCTCATTTATATTCATTTTAATCTCCCGTACACAAATTAATGTTCATTTATATTCATTTTAATCTCACGTACACAAATTAATTGTACAAATTAATCTCACAGTTTGAATTTAACAAATTTATTTTAAATTAATCTCACGTACACAAATTAATTTACTATCCAACATAATTTCGTTTAATATGGAGACGTGCAGACTACTCTTACTACTCTTACTTAGTGAATCTTTCTTCACCGAAAAAAAATATAACCAACTAAACCAATTAATTAATTGTTCAGTTAATTTGGAATTATTTTATCATCACATCACAGTTTGAATTTATTCAAACTCATAGTTTAAATTAATCTAATGATTATCAATTATTAACCCATGCCCATAAAATGAACGTCCAAACGTAGATCACCGATCACAAATATCTCGTACACTCCCACTTCACATACCACCAGAAAAATGGCAAAAGCATGGGGAAACATCAAGCAAATAACCAGGACCAACAGGCCTATACTGAAGTTAAGAGTGGTCTAAATTTTTCATAGGACTAATGAATACTCATCCTACAAGAACATCTTTTTAAATTGTCTTTCATGACATTGAGGTATAATTCACAATCAAAGTGAATAATTAATTCTTCATTCTCATATTACACCATAATTTCTAATATTATCTTTTTATTTTACAGGGCGGTCGAATTTTAGGATAATAAGAGCGGTAAACATACCAAATTACATCAATGAATTCGAAGAAAATTGTTGTCCATGCATTTCGAAATTACCAGGTTGAGAGTAATATTGGGATGTATAGATCCACCATTGCACAATACAGGCTTATAATTCATGGTAAAACTGAACACATAAGCTACAAGGGTGACTTTCTAATTTTCCATTTCGACTTTAGAAGGTTCACCACACTAATTGATGTTGAGAAGCTCGACGAATCAATATTATTTGGTAACTGTTTCATTTTTACATTATATTTTTTAGAATTTTCATTATAAAAAATGGCGTTCAATAATATTTTTACTCATATTTAACACATGTTTAGATGTCATTGGGATGGTGGTCGAGATAAATCCAATTCAAATGAAGAGCGTCAAAAGAGTACAAACTCGCATGATAGCATTCTCACTAATGGATCCAGAGTAATATTAAAACTTACATCCACATATTACTATTCATGTATAATATTGTAATGTAATAGTTACTTTCATATTTATGATAATAATTTTTTTATTTAAATTTGCAATAAGGGGAAACATTATGCCCTGCACTCTATGGGGGACATATGTTGACCAATTCCTGAACTTTGAAAGTCAACTTGCCCACAATGGCAACCCATGGACTTTGATAATTCTATTATGGCGTTCAAGATCATGGGCAGGTATTATAAAATTTAATGTCTTCAATTTATATAATTAATTTATCCAATATGGTTTAAATTATATTATTTCTTCACACACAGACGAAGTGTAAGTAACCTCACCAAAGGATATAACAAGGCTAATTGCTGGAGAAAATGTTCCAGACATTGTAGAATTTCGCAATAGGTAAAACTGCTTTGAATTATTTTAACATTCAATAATTCTATATATAATATTAGATAATTAAATATGTAATGAGACATTCTATGAGTTTGTGTAATGAGACACGATTGGTAACAAAACTATCCACTCATGTTCTTGAGTGTAAGATACTCACAGGAGATCATGCTGGTGATAAGGTGTTGATTCCAAGAATGATCATAACTCCTTCTAATGTTAGAATTCCTTTCAAGTTCCAGCGGCGGCAGAGACAATCCTTATCTCATGTTGGCTTATATCTTAAGAAACCAGTGTTCAGTCATGGTCAGTTATATGTTGTTGTCTCTCGTGTCACTAACCGAAAAGGTTTGAAAATCTTAATTTGTGGCAAATATGACGTGCCAAAGAATCAAATCGATAATGTTGTATATATAGGGAAGTGTTTAATAATATATGATATTTTCAGTTTAATTATATGTTTATATGTCTATTCTTATGATCATGATCATTGAATTATTACACAATTTATATACAAAATTGCCTTCTAAAAAGCGTATAGATAATAATTTCCCTGTACATCGCACGGGTGATTACTAGTTATATTAATAACTGAAAACTCAAAGAAAATAGAAATTAAAGTGCAAACGAGCACTACTAGAAACAGAAAAATTGAACCAACCCCCTTTGGATCTGCGCAGGTGACCAAGCGGGTACAAATTCCACAAAGAAGACACACTCTCAAAACACAACTCCAAAATTGACGACTTTATTTAAGGTATCTGATGGCCATTTTTATTTTTGATAGGAATTATGTTGTTATTAATAAATGTCCGAATTTAGGATATAAAGTGGGTAATTTTATTTGGCTATGAAATGTCCGAATTTAAATTGTATGAATTTTATTTGGTATGGATAGAAATATACTTGAAATTATTTTTAAAAAAATAAGTGGTATGAATTTTAATTGATGTGGATATGAAAGTCGAATTTTAGATTAATTTGTTATAAAACCAAGGTAATTCCATAATTTGCTATATGATAATTCGGCAAATTTGTAACAACCCGTCTACTATATATAGGCTTTTAAAAATCAAAGTTAAATTTTTGCTTTTTATTTTCGAAAAATGCTATCTTTATTTTCGAAAATACTGTTATTGACTCGCGGGATGTTACTAAACTCTATTTTACTGCTTTTCTTGTCTCTTTATCACACAGACATAATAAATACATGCAACATAATCAAATCCATTTAATAAAGGTATCATGGAGACAAAGACATTGCACATGCATACATCTGGAGTTTCATAATACATATTGGGTCTGAATATGCGAAAGCTAAAACGTAATAAGTATGCGTATGATAAAAATAATTCATGTTCAAATAAATGACATGACATGCGACACAAAAATAGCATCTGCTCATGACCACGGCCACTGCAAGTGCTCACGCTCTACGTTGGACTCCGTCACCTAAAAATAAAGTTAGTGGAGGCGTGAGCAAAACCACTATACTCTGCAGAAATCGGTACTGAATAAAACAGTATCAATAATAACACTATCATAACTTCAGTATATAAGAACTGAAACTGAGTTGAACTAAACTTGGCTTAAAGCCGCTCGGTCGAAGCCGCTAATATATGTGCACACCCCGATTGGCGCATTAAGGCCCGTTAGGGCCTCCATATCGGGACCACAGATGGAACATTAAGGCCCGCTCAGCCTCCAATCCTGGGCGATAATATTTTTCTCATACATACCTCAGACGTGGTAGAAATATTAAAGACAATGTATTGCTCAGTACTAGACCCCCACCTGATCTACTGATACTGCTAGGCAAGTGCTAGATGAAGGTAGTTGTTAGAGGCTCGACTCTCCTTAAGCTACAAAAATATTTTAAACAGAATATTCTAAGTACTATGATTGGCCTAAAATATTGGTTCTCACTTTAATCTTGATTTAACTCGATTATTCGATTGCTTAAAAATATTTTAAATTCTCAATTTTAGAAGTTTACGGGCTGACTTAAAAAATTTATTGTCTTGAGGCATACTAGAACTCTTTGAAATATTTCTAGGTCTGGGACTATATTCTAACTTGATTTTTAATCTGGCTTTTATCAGGACTGGGTAAGCTCGAAAAATATCTAAGTCTGGAGCTAATCTGTCTAGTTTAAATTGGGTCTGACTCGGTTCAAAAAATACTGGACTCGGTTCACGCTCAAACCGTTGTTCCGAACTTAAACTCTCGAATCGTCCGGACTGCCCGGACTGATTCGACTAAACTTGGAAACTTCTAGAACCGTCCGGAATACCCGGACAGGTTCGACTGGAACATCTCAAACCTTCTGAACTTCCGGACTGCCCGGACTGGTTCGACTAGACTGGAACATCTCAAACCTTCCGAACTGCCCAGACTGGTTCGGTGAACTGGACCAGCGGCTCCCTCGGAACCGACGGGTCACTCGTTTGACTTAACTTATTTTTAATTTTATTTTCTTATTTATAATATTAAAGATAATATATATAGTGATTCATATTGATGTTTATATGCCTGCTCAACACTTATATGAAAGTCATGCAAACTAAAGCCAAACAGATTCCCATCGCTCAACATCTTCTTGAGACCTTTCATCAATTATATTCAATATTAGGTAAAACCATATTCACCTGCAAACCGAAAGTGCATGAAATTTTATAATATGGAACTTGGTGGATTTGGCAAGTGATAAAATACTATTTTTTTTAACAGTACATTTCTCCATCAACATTTAAATGCACAGTAAGGATTATGAGTGTTGGTACCCAATTTGGCTACGATTAATAAAAACACAACAAATAAAATATCATTTATACTACATATAGTGAATAGTAGGCTAGTACTACATAGTGAATAATACATGTAGTACAAGTGTACTGCATAATAAACTAATACAAAGCCTCAATGATGGAGGGAAGAGAAAGAGAAGAATTCATTTGTTCAAAAAAGAGGAAAAATATCACAATTCTCTGAGAGACATTACTACTAATATTTTCTTATTTCTTTTGTACAATTTAATTCATATATTCTCCTCCAAAAGTCATGAATAGAAGAGGGATTCAACTCATATTTTCAGAACAAATCTATTCGTGCAGATTGAACAGAGTACACAATTTAGTGTACCCCTGTTGCTGACATTTTTGAGCATCAACAATTAACGCTAGAGGAAGGGCCTCATAATTTGTTTGAGGTAAATTTTCTAACTTGTGGAAGAACACCAGAAATTTATTAGATTTCATCGCACAAAGAAAAAGGATGTTTAGTACAATACAAAAATCTTGGGAGCTTCCTGAAAGTGTTGGCCGAGCATAAGTAAATAAGTAGATAGAACCACCTCCACTTGGATATAATTCGGCCACGTCACCATCCCTGGTATCACCTC